ATGACAGCACATAAAGCACGTATCGATTAAAATTATTTAAATATCACGTTATTCGATAAACTTAACATATTTAGCATATTTATCTGCATTTGGTAGATATATTTTTCGATATGACAGAAAATTCGAGATTTTTCACCATAACTGTGCTGGAAGAATTTTTATTTAAGCAAACGATTTTTGTTAATTTAACTCATTTTAGAGATATACAGGGAAACAAGGTAACACTTGTCTTCATTCAACTGTCTTCACTCCGGAAGAACTGAAGAAGGGCCAAAAAAAATTGCTCGATACTTCCCTTTAGGTTTCCTACAAACCTGCAAAGTTTCAAAGAAACTGGAATTTTCGCGTTACCGAAGTTCCCTCGTGACTCACGTTTCTTTCATCTTCTTTCTCCTCTTTTTCTTTCGAAAATATTTCTCACAAAGACGAGCGAAGGAAACTTGCCAAATCACGCCGTTTTGCAGATTTCCTCCAAAGTTCGCTCGCGTTGTTCCTTTCTTTCTCCTCTTTTTCTTTCGAAAATATTTCTCACAAAGACGAGCGAAGGAAACTTGCCAAATCACGCCGTCTTGCAGATTTCCTCCAAAGTTCGCTCGCGTTGTTCCTCCTCACCGTTGAATTTAAGTGTTTGCCGTTAATCTCGAGTGTCTATCGTCCTCCTGATGTGTTTTACGAGTTTCGTAGCTAGGTACTGATGCATTTGAATTAGCTATGCTACCAGTGACAGCGTTGTCAACGTGAGGATAAATTGGACGTGTGCGGAATTAACAGTGTCAGAGATTATGAGTGTAATATTAAATCTGAAAAGCCTTCAGTCGTCGACTGAAAAGATTGTAATTTCAGAGTGTGATCAATAGACGATGAATTTAAAAATACATTTTAGTTGCATTGTATTTTTCATATTTTATCGATAAATCTCTAACGGTATCTAACGCGAGTAATACCTTTCTGTTGATATTAAGCAATCGATATTTCTGCTAGATTTCCTGTTGATGAATTCGCTAGATAGATTTAGGCTGATACATCTTCATGTTCCTGCTATATTGCGATAAATTACCCTACCTTCGCTCTTTGACTTTCTTGCACAGCCTACATGAATCGTCATTATTCATTCATTGCTGTACTTAACAGAAGCTTGAATTTCAACTTCACACGTGTTAGATGACTAGCCCCTCTTCGTCGTGAATTACCAAGTTTACTCGTCGGACAACGTTCGTACCAGTTATCTTCCGGAGGTTGTTATTCATCCACGAGATCGCTTTCTATTTTGATGCGTGAATCCGTGAGAAATTTCAGCTAACCTTGATGGAGTAAATAAAAAATCGAGATTAGTCGGTATTATTTTTTAGGCGAGTTGAAATTTGGGGAAATTGAGGTGAAAGCTGGGGGAAATGTAAATTTAGCATTTGAAGGAGGTTATGTAAATGTTAGGTCGCTTGAACGTTCGTGGGGGAAATTCGAGATTGGTAAATTTTCATTGGAAAATGAGCGAGACGGTACGGTAGATCAAGTTGTCGATGATAATATTTTAAGAAAATTTGCGAAAAGCAATCCACGATGAAGAATATGAAATTTTGCTACAGACTATCATTTTTTCGTATTTTTTTGACAAATAAATTATTTAGAAGTGAAGACGCTATGAGAGTGGCAGCGTTCGAAGAATTTTCCAATTGAAAGACAAATTTCCAATTTAATTTTTAAGAAGGCAATTCATTTATTCGGTGTTTCGTATAGACTTCAACAAACATCTCTGAAATATTTTTAACAAATAAATTATTTCGAAATAAAGACACTATGAAAGTGACAGCATTCGAAGAATGTTCCAATTGAAAGACAAATTTTCAAGGTTTTTAATTTTTAAAAATTTCGAATTTAATTTTTAGGAGGGCAATTCATTTATTCGGTGCTTCCTATAGACTTCGACAAAATCTCTGAAATATTTTTGACAAATAAATTATTTCGAAATGAAGACACTATGAAAGTGACAGCATTCGAAGAATTTTCCAATTAAAAGACAAATTTCCAATTTAATTTTTAAGAAGGCAATTCATTTATTCGGTGCTTCCTATAGACTTCGACAAACATCTCTGAAATATTTTTGACAAATAAATTATTTCGAAATGAAGACACTATGAAAGTGGCAGCATTCGAAGAATTTTCCAATTGAAAGACAAATTTCCAATTTAATTTTTAAGAAGGCAATTCATTTATTCGGTGTTTCGTATAGACTTTCAACAAAATCTCTGAAATATTTTTAACAAATAAATTATTTCGAAATAAAGACACTATGAGAGTGGCAGCATTCGAAGAATTTTCCAATTGAAAGACAAATTTTCAAGGTTTTCAATTTTTAAAAATTTCGAATTTAATTTTTAAGAAGTCAATTCATTTATTCGGTGTTTCCTATAGACATCTCCGATCACAGTGTAATCTCGTTGAAATCGCAAAGCAGTCGTTCTATTTATAACACATATAAACCCACATCGTTGCATAATTTTTTCGCGACACCCGACGTCTGCTGCACCCAGACACTCAGACGCAGTCGTAACGGCTTCGTCCCTCGGCCCTAGATCCCGTAACACTCGCAACGTGTCGCCGGAATTCATTCCCGACCCGAGCAAACCGCGTTGCTTCTCTTTTTTCCCCTCAAGATTCCGTCGCTCGACGTCCACGGAGTCTGGGCCAAGAGACGCTCTCAAAGAGGAGCGTCCACGATCCTGATGCGGTAGACCGGCGTGCAGAAATAAACCCTGCCAAAACAAAGAACGGCCGCGCGAGAGTTTAGGCGACGAAGCGAGATGGAACGGTTCTCGCTAAGGCCCTACGATTAGGATGCGCAAGTGTGCAAAAAAGAGAGAGGAGGTGTAAAAATCAGAACGAAAAAAGAGCGAGCGAGTGAGAAGGGAGAAAAAGAAGAAGAACGATTAGGCAGCGAGGAACGAACGTGCCTGCAAATTCGCATGAAACGAGATGGAACGGTTTGGTAAGACGAACGATCAGGATGCAGAAGAGCGAAAGAAGAGAAGTGGCAGAAAAATCAGAGTCGAGAAGAAATGAGTGACAAGAGATAGAAAAGAAGAACGATTAGGTAGTAAGGATGCAGAAGAGCGAAAGAAGAGAAGTGGCAGAAAAATCAGAGTCGAGAAGAAATGAGTGACGAGAGATAGAAAAGAAGAACGATTGAGAAGAACGAAGTGAGAAACGAATATGTCTAAATTTGCACGAAACGACGTGGAACGGTTCGTTAAGGACGAACGATTAGGACGCAGAGGAGTGAAAGAGAAGAAGAGAAGACGCGTAAAAATCAGAGTCGAGAAGAAGTGAGTGAGGGGAAAGAATGAAGAAGAACGGCATGGTAAGGGCCAAAGAGCCAAAAAATAGAGGACGTGTAAAAATCAAAGTCAAGAAGAAACGTGTGACGAAACGAAGAAAAGAAGAGCGATTAAGCACAGAAAAACAAATATGCCCCTAAATTTACACGAAGTAAGCTGAAACAATTCTCCAAGAACATCCAATTAGGAAATAACAAAACAGTGAAAAAGGAAACAAGAAGACGCATAGAAATCGGAGCAAAGAAGAAACGAGAAGGACTCGCTGAAGAAGCCAAAAAAAAAAAGGAACGATTAGGCAGCGAGAAACGAATATGCCTTAAAATTCGCGAGAGATAAAGAAGCGTTCGGTGAACGAGAACGAAGAAAGAGATCACGAAGGAGAAAGGATAGAGTGAGAGAAGGAGGCAAAGCCGGGAGACCCATTTTGCATTCTACAGGGAGCTAGTCAGCGGCTAACTATAAGAGGAGCTAACTATAAACCGGACTCCCTACCCCCTGGTTGCTATTTCCAGCGTTTCGCTTGTCGCACTGCCAAACCCCCCTTGGTCTGCACGCCCTTCCTCCCTACTCTTTCTCTCGCCACCCTCTCGAACTCCCCTATGGTCGCGTGAACGTCGCGTTCCTCGACTTACCGTTACGATTCCGCCGGGCTCTGTCTCGCGGAAACCTCCATTCGGAAGCTCTTATGAGAGGTGTCCACAGTTCTATACACACACATGCATACGTACGTGGGAGGACGTCAGTTGATGGAGTGGGTCTGGGAGGAGGTGTTGATGAAGAAGGAGTTGGAGTAATTATGTTCCTGCTCCAGAAGATGGATTTAAATTCTGTTAGCTGCTCTCCGTTGTGTGGAGAGGTCGATTATTTCTTGATTGATGAAGTCGAGTTAAGTTGAGCACTGTTAAGGTTTCTGGCTGCATGGATATGCTGCTACTTGGGAATTTTGTGTCGTTGGTGATTCTGATGATTTGGACGTGATTTGAACGTGTATGTTCTGGGAATACTTGCCCTTTGCACTCGAAGGCCCTTTTTCTGTAAGGAAGTAGCAAAAATTAATGTAATTTTTTAAAGCTAATCTTTTCATTAGAAGTTGGTTCTTTCGAACTACTTCACTGCTGACATCTCTAAACCTGTACCGAACAATTCACGGAGATCCATAGATCATCCTTAGAGTTGCCTCTAATGGCATGTATGATGTCGCTTCTTAGTCGCCTGAAAGAGTGCAAAGGGTCAATGAGAAGAATAAAATTTAATTTTCTAATTTTTATGAATAGGGTATGGGAAAGTTTGAAGAGATTTCTTTTTGGTCCTTTTTCTAGGAACATACTTTTCTCTTTGTTTTCATATGAATTCTTTTGGGGGGAGGTGTATGACAAAGTTCGAGGGGAAATATATTTTCTTTTGTCCCTTTTTTAGCAACTTATTCTTTTTTTAGATTTGACATGAATTATTTTGTATTTGACGTGAATTAAGTAAATGGTTCTGTTTGTAACTTGGCTTGATAATTTTCGTTAAATCTTCAATTATTTTCCCGTAATTTTATTAGTTTTTAGTGTAACGTAGAAGCTTTGTAAAATTTGAATTTAACAAGTTTGTCGATTTTGTTCCAGGTCCACTGCCGATACACCATATCAGAACAGTAATTAATGATGCTGTAAATCCTTGACTGCCAGATTTCGTTGCAAGTACCAGTAAAATTGTGAGTACTCGATAAATATCAGAACTAACACTCGCTTTACAATTACTCTATAACAGAAATATACTGCGAATTATTATAGAAATTGCAAAATGTACATTTGCATAATTTACAGTATTTTATAAATATCAATATCGACTGAAAATATCTCCAAATCGTTTTTCTATAAATTTCACTTAAAAGAAAGAAAATTTTATTTCTCGAATAATCATTAACAAATAAAATCCACTTGCGAATCAACATATCGTTGTCACTTGTACCTACTTTAATGTGACAATTATTTTCTGACAAGTGAAATCGAATTTGCATACAAGTTCCTTTATTACTCGGACATCTTTCGGAATTTATAGCCGGAATATTTGTCACAGAAAACTATAAACCCATCTACGAGCTAAAAATATATTTCATACGTGAGAGTTTGCGCACAGTTCGTTCGCACAGAATATAATTATCCGTTTAATCAGCTAACACTTGGTTGTTAGAGATTAGTGAAAGCAACCGCTGTAAAAATTCACTCACCACCTGACGTCCGCACTTTTTTTTCACAAGTGCATTTTATTAACATACCTGCACCTGATCGCCTTCAGGTGTGGTGCCAATATCGGTCGTTTGCATTGCGGTTCCAGAGAAATCGATTTCGCTTTTTTTTTCCACGACCGCAATTGGAACGACTGTAAACTAAGGCGATACGCCACTTACATACACGTTCGCGTAGAAATCTGTATAAACTCATTACAACACCTAATCGGCGTAATTGAGAACTCGGCTGGTCACGTGCTCTCGTTGTTATCGAAAAAAGGTGTTCTTTTTTTTTTTTTCTTATTTTTTTCCAACAATCGGAGAATTACGCGAATATTCAGTCGTTCTGCGAGAGTATAGTTAGATGTCGTCGTAAAGAGATAATTTATTCAGTGACTGAGTACGTAGTTATGTTCATCTACGCGAAAAATGTGAACCGGAAAACGTATAAACTAGCGGGCAACTTTTATGTGGAATGGCTCGCGGTCACGGTTCGATGTCGCGTTCACTAAATTATATTGTACGTAATTACGTAAACGACCGGGTATTTATCGATCACGTAGATGTTAAATTTCGTTTTTCGTATGATTGATTTAAAAGGCATTCGTTAAATCAAACGACCACCTTACACCACCTTGAAGCGCGTAAAAATAGGGTAAACTTTGAGAATTTTTTTCGTGGCTAACTATTAACCAGTTAACTGCGGAATTCAGTTTTAAAAATCCCTCACGGGACGCGTAATTAAAATCAAGCAACGACGAGCATACACGTCGAACGCAGGGCAAATGCTCCTATTATAAATTTGAGGAAAGAGGTGAAGCAAAACGGGGGAGGATTACATTTTTATTCGGCAAAAAATTAACAATTGATTGATGAAAAGGATATTGTTATTAAAAACTGAAAAATCGTCAGAAAATGATAAAATTCATAAAGAAGAAAACTAATTTTAAGAAATTCGGTTGATTTAATATAAAGGAAACATACCACCGAATGACGTTTTCATTACTTCTTATTGAAATTTCGAGTTTTCATAGTAAATGGTAATTTTTTGTTTTACACGACGAAATAAAGTTTCGGAGTGACGTGTATACACGTCGAAAAGTTTCAATTTTTTCTGAGGATGTAAATGTAACTTTCAGTTTCTTTCTACGATTTTTAAAAAGTGAAAATGTTGCAAAATGGAGGAGTTATTCGCTAATTGAGGAACCTCTTGTTCTGCTGGAGCATTGGCCGCCATTGTCGGCAAAGATTGAAACTTGAAAATAAACAATTCCTGTTGATTTGTAAATGAAAATTTATTACTTACAATGTAATGTCAGCGTATTTCTTCGATATCTCGATTATTTAATTTTTTCAGAAATGTTTAACACTTTGCACCCTAATAGCGCTGTTACGGAGACATGCGTGAGAACTTTGAAATGTAAAATTGCGATTCAGAATTCGGTAAAATTCATGCAAATTGGAGAACTTTAGAATGTAAAATTCAGATGTGAAAATTCAGATTCCGAATTCAGTAAAATTCATACGCTTTGGAGAACTTTAAAATGTAAAATTCAGGATTCCTGCTCTATAATAACGAGTCAGACTCGGGGCACAGATTCTGGTCTGATGAAAACAGTTGTATCGGTAACAAAATGTAATTTTAATTCCAATTTTCGATTTAATTTACAAACCTGAAGATTGGCAAATTTAATTAATCTACAATACATTAACTTTTCTTACTCGGTATAGTACTGAAATAGTAAATAACTGACGCTTAGGTGCATAGTCAGAGAAGGAAATGATACGTCAAGGGGTTAATGTTATTAAATATTAAAAAATCTTTTCCTTCGAATCACATTTTTCGGGTTTTCAAAAGTTTCACTGCAAACGTATACCGATCAATCTTACCAAAACATGCTTAGAGTACAAATTTTAATGGTTGAAGTTGATTGTTTTTTTTCGAAAAAACAAGTTCTTCCACTTAAAACTCTGCCATCGTTTCCTTGATTATCACAATTATCGAAAAATCCTACGTACAATTGCATAATTATCAGGAACAACGGCGAGTCCATCGAGTTTCCGTTCGAACATTCGGCTCCAGCGCGAATTTCGCGGCTCGATTCGTTAATAATCGCGTGGCATTGCTCGCAAATCGGATTAATACTCGTGCTACTGACGCTACGTCCACCGATGTCCGTATTAGCACGTTAATTAATACGATGCGACGTCTAGAATGGAATCGACGCGTTGATTATTATAGAACGACGTTGAATTCGGAACGAGAACGTTAATTATCGTGGCTGGTAGACGCTGAAGAAGGATGTTAACGAATTTATGGGTGAATTCGGAGGTTACGGGACGACGTGATAATTTTAGAAATACGCTGTGATGTTTTCGACAGGTTTTTTATTTAACCAGAATCGAACACGAATAGCATATACATAATTTCATTTTTATATTATTTAATCAATTATTATACCCTTCGATCATTTGCAATTATACAATTGCAGAAATTTAGACGATTAATTTCTTCTTTTATTTTTATATTTTTCAACTCACTCTATTTCTGTGCAAAAGCAGAAATTCTGAAAACGTTTTATACACTGTTATTGTAAATAATTTTATTTTGAATACGAGCAGAGATTGTTTCAAACTAAAAATTGACGCGAACGTTAATTCTTTGCTATTAGTTTCTTCGATTATTTTTATATTTTTCAACTCACTCTATTTCTGTGCAAAAGCAGAAATTCTGAAAACGTTTTATACACTGTTATTGTAAATAATTTTATTTTGAATACGAGCAGAGATTGTTTCAAACTAAAAATTGACGCGAACGTTAATTCTTTGCTATTAGTTTCTTCGATTATTTTTATATTTTTCAACTCACTCGATTTCTGTGCAAAAGCAGAAATTCTGAAAACGTTTTATACACTGTTATTGTAAATAATTTTATTTTGAATACGAGCAGAGATTGTTTCAAACTAAAAATTGACCTTAATTCTTCGCTAGGAAATCACGTCGGTGAAAGCAGTGTTGATTTGCATAGAAAATTTAGGGTATCAAAAGTTGTCAAACTAACGACGAGTTCCGGCAGTATTCAAATAGACCGTGGCAGATTAATTTTCGCGTGTACACCTTGCGTTAATTAAAAAAAATGCTTTCGCGTCGATGCTTTCTGAAGGAGCGGCGTGCGTATATTGAAAAAATACAGCGCCGAACATTTTGTTTACGCTTTATAAACATCGCAAAACTAACGTTTGCCCGTGAGAAAGTATCTATGAAAACCGACAGTGCGCCAATTAAAAGTTATCAAACACGCGTGAATAACTTAATACACCGGGTGGGCCAGGTGAACGGGATTAGCATAGATATCTCTGGTATTTATGGGTGTATAAAAAAAAAGCTGTTCGACGAGGTGAATAAAGTGATGAGAAAGATCACTTCGAGATCATTTTTTCGAGATTTCGAGATCATCGGTATTTTTTTTTTAATTTTACGGTATATATTTTTTTGTATACCTTTACATAGTGTAAAAAGTAAGTACAATGACCTTAGAAAACGTAGCGTTCCAATCGTTCAATCTTGAGATATTTGTTGAAATTAAATTTCATTCTGAATTAAGATACATTGTTCGTGCAGATATTAACTATTAAAGTAGATGCAACGTTAGTATTACGATTCTGTTGCTCGTTATAAAGTGAAATTATAAATAATGTATTTTAGTTGGTTATCTGTGTAAATAGATGTTGGTAGAGATGGAATTTATGAATGTTGCTACGGTACTGTACTCTCTTACTATATTTTACTATAACTGCTGTACTTTGAAATACCTGCTATACTTTACTACACTTGCTATACTTGCTATATTTTACTATTCTTGCTATATTTTCTATACTGGCTATATCTTACTATACTTGCTATATTTGCTATATTTTACTATACTTTACCATATTTTACCTAACCTAACCTAACCTAACCTAACCATATTTTACAATATTTTACTATGTTTTACTATTTTACTACATTTTTCTACATTTCTGTACATTTTTTTCTATTTTTCCCTATTTTTCTATATTTTTCTATACTTTTCTCTAGTTTTCACTATTTTTCACTATTTTTCTATACTTTTCCCTATTTTCCACTATTTTTCTATTCTTTTCTATATTTTTCTATATTTTTCTATACTTTTCTCTAGTTTTCACTATTTTTCACTATTTTTCTATACTTTTCTATACTTTTCCCTATTTTTCACTATTTTTCTATTCTTTTCTATATTTTTCACTATTTTTCTACATTTCTCTATATTTTTCTCTATTTTTCTATATTTTTCTATACTTTTCTCTAGTTTTCACTATTTTTCACTATTTTTCTATACTTTTCTATACTTTTCCTTATTTTTCACTATTTTTCTATTCTTTTCTATATTTTTCTATATTTTTCTACATTTCTCTATATTTTTCTCTACTTTTCCATATTTCTCTATATTTTTCTCTATATTTCTC